AACCATTAGTACCTAATCAACACCTTGTAAATTGCTTATTAGTAACCAATAGTAACTATTAGTACCTAATCAACGCCTTGTAAATTGCTTATTAGTAACCAATAGTAACCATTAGTACCTAATCAACACCTTGTAAATTGCTCATTAGTAACCAATAGTAACCATTAATACCTAATCAACATCTAACAACTCACTGCCACCAACCCATTTATAAGCGCGTGAGTAATTTTTAGCCAAGCTAACAATCTGATGGACCAGTGAAATAGATCGAGTTGGGATCGTCTAGTAATTTTCCCCTGATATAACAGAATGGCCAGAAGTTTGTTTTAGGCTTAATTAGAGGTCGCCTACCATCTTGTGGGCACTCTGATATCTTATGTTTTTGTAAAAATTACGATGGATTGCCTGTTGCGCCGCCAGATCACCACCGGAATACGTAATGAACTGTTCCTGTAGATCTACCCGATGGATTTGACAAATCTACTGGAGAAATATCTTTGCCAACGAAATCTGGTGTGTTGGACATGTGTGAGCGTTGCCATGGTATTAATGGTTGCTATGGCTGCTCATTAATGTGCACGGCTTAGTATAAGGTGTTATAATGGTTGCTATGGTTGCTCATTAATGTGCAGCTTATAAGGGTCACTAACAAAAAGATAACTGAACACTAGCTAAAGGTTATTAAAGATAAGATCAATAAATATTGCCTAATGTACACGGCTTTTGTATGTAGGCTTCTTAACTTTCTATGCCTCGAGGCTTGCTCCTTAGACCACTATATGTAAAAGACTTTCAGTATTACGTTACTGAAGTTAAAATAAAATGTTTAAAATTGCATTAAACCTCAAAAGGATCAGTAGATATAGTGTTATTGTTTTATTGTAAGGTTATTGAGGAGTGAACTGACTAGCATTTTATAATTTTTTGTGATGCACTCGACAGCTTGTCATTACGAAATGGTCAATGCATGGGCGTCCACAAGTATTCGTGACTGCCCAATATTTCGTGATACCCGTGACGTATTCAGGATTATATGGATATTTTTAAAACAGAGCTCCTTTTATTCGTGATAGTATGGCATTAAGTCGGAACTACCGATTAGAGAATTAATCATTACTCTCATCACGTCGAGTATGCTGACAATGCCCAAACGAATAACTTTCTTTCTTGGCTACCTGTGGTCTAAATAATTGATACTGATTGAGAGAGRCTGAAATTTGCCGGCAGCTGGACTGAATCAATGAAATTTCGCTTGTTCCTCGTTAGAAGCCCGGCTKTCCTTTTGAAGAATCAAACAGATAAAAATAACTTAATCATTGCCATTCGTGATCGTGTATTAAATGAACTACTCACTGGAACATTGACCATGGCAGCATGGACCTAAGTTATACAGTAACACGTGATAGCTATTTATAGGATCCCTGTGGTTTACATTCTAAAGTAGAATCACCTCATAAACTGACAGAATTATTTGGATTCATAAATTAGAAATTTATAAATTATTTCTCTATATAGTGAGTCATACTATTTTATGGGTTCCCTGTGGTTCAGATAAGTACTGAGTCATTACACGGAGTCATGACTATGAACTCATAGCTCGTGACATCATCGTTTCATTTGCTAAATTACAAATATATGTGGAATGTGCCTCTATATAATAACTATATTCATATACATCGTAATATCAATATCGATATCGTATATAGATTATCCATGAAGTGTAAGAAATAAATATCCAGGGTTTGCGCTTAAAAAATACTGCTCGATCGACATCCTTCCAAACCCCTATCCTYTAACTACCACTGGTAACATTGCTTTGTAGATAATAATTTTTGACACAAAACTAATCAGCCTGCCTGTGGTTTGTGTTTTTACTGATATGGTATTAAAGATGACTCATAGTCTCATATCTTAGAGTGTTAGCTGACGTTACAAATTTATGAATTTTGTAGTTTAGTTCGCAATGAGTTTCGTACAAATGTGATGCAACGCGTAGAAGACGGTAATTACAAAATTTCAGAACCCGAATATGAGTTATCCGTGAATGTTTTATTTTCCGAACATCGACCATCACCTAAAATATTCATTCTACGACACTGCTTGAGTGTCAGATGATTTCTGAGGTTTAATTATCGTTTGAATAACGTGACCGGATGAATTAGTTTAAAAATACCCGCATTGCGTGGAGATTCATCGTACCAAGACTAATCCTAGCCTTGCTTATTGTACGGCAAGGTTCGGCTTCTACTTTGTGATATCAATGTTATGGTGTATCTTTGCTGCGTATAGTACACGAATAGTTTTTATCGTGAATGAAGTCAGCGTAAGAGTCGACAGGGTAGTGTATTTCATTCGTTTTTCCCGGATGCAAATAAATCAGAAGAAACCACTGAACTATTGTCCTTCGATTTCTATAAAGTTGAAATATAATGTTTGAGACCTGCGCGTTTGTGATTTTATTCATCCGTATTTTGTCAACGATTGACTGATTACGCGTATGAATTTTTCTCGCAAGCTGACTCAATGTTGATACACTGTATTTTGGCGGGAATTTTAGCGAGATATCCAATGATTCTTTGTGCATTTTTTTTTGCAAAATAAAAGCCGAATTTACTTCATGACGTGTTTCTAATCAATCTTATTTTTTTTGATCTTTCTAGAATTGAGTGAGTCATTCAACCAAACTATGTTTTCATCGTAAAAATCGCCTCCTGGAGCTTCCAGTTGAGCCAATCCTGTCACGAAACACCTCGTCTATGAAAAAGTCATGACTCGCATATATTAATTCCCATAGCAACAGAAATAATATTGATCAATTTGAAAGCGGCGTCCCAAGAGAATAAAGAGTATTTATTCATAACCAAACGGATCGAGATCCATTCAATTTTTTGAGCCCAAATAGCAAAGAGCTGGAATTTCCTTTACAAAAAAATATTAATTCTTTGAGGCTCAATTTGGCCAAACGATGGTTCCTATTGCAGAAACGACAATATTCGACGAGGATTTGGAAAAATTTGTTCTCGGATCGGCGTCAGACTTTAGTGACAGCGACGAAGAAGATAGTGAAGATGACTCGTGTGCTTTGAATGTGAGCTGTCATAGTAGTCATTTCAAAGGAATGGTAAAAGACAACGATTGTGGTTCACTCACTGTCAAGAAACGAAAACTACAAACACATTTAGATCACTTGGATATTGAACTTTCTACTCTCTGCTGCTCTTACGAAGCAGATGATTGCCACGAGAGGAGCAAAACAAAGAATAACGTAGCAGTTGAGTGTGATGTTGCACCAGTTTCTGCAGAATCTAGCCTAACTACGAAAAGTACTATTTCAGGTCTAACGAATCAAAGGAAAAGATCTCACCAAACAAGCTAGAAGAGAAGAAAGACGTGACGTGACCTGAAAAGGGGGAAATATAATTTCAAGATTCAAAATAATTCAAAACTACGAGCCGTTCCGCTGGACGAACTTCATTACCTGAGTACTGACTAGTCTTTCGACAGACATAGAACTCTCAGCAAACTGAAAATTTTGCACTACTATTTGGAAAAATATATCTAAAAATTAAATATATATTTAAATACAATATACATAAAGAATGCAAAACTTTAACATTCTTTTTCAAATTTATTGAGAATGTTATGTGATTTTTTTCATAATTGTCAAAATTAAAACGAAAGAAYATTATAAAGATAAACTGTAAATAATATCAAAAAAATCAATCTTAATTTGTATATTAAAGTCGATAACTGTAAGGTCAATAAATATTTGACTCTCGTTGAGGATGTTGTATTTATTATGACAGGAAATAATGATATTAATATTAAATACGAATTAATTTTCATTTGTTATTTTGTTTTGGGTCGATTGTCATGGCATTTGATTCCTCTGGCTTTGCAATGAGCTCATCTGTAACGTACAGACAAAACATACATTCATTTTACCTCAATTACCGCTGATATACATATACAGTCCCTTCTTTTCAAAAATAAATCATCATTTCCAACTACTGTATATATTTAAAATATTTCATTCATAATTTTCTGTAAACTTAGAAGGAAATAAGGCATTCTGGACTTTTTCTGAACATTTTGTATATTTATATGTATGGTCTAAAAGTTTTCTTTGCATGATAACTTTGGTCGTGTTAAGAATTAAAAGATACATATTTTTGTCAGTTGGTTTTCCACCTTTTCTTAGCTAAATGAATTCTGTAAAACATTATTATTATTTATTATAATAATGACTTTTTTACTATAGTAAGTTAATAATAGTTAATTAATGATAATAATAAATGCACTAAATAGGTGTATTGAATATCTTAGGCATAGATCATACCGC